TTTGTGCTTGTGGGCTCGGGTAAGTTTTCGTTTTTTTTTTTTGGTTGAATTTATTCCAAATGGAGATGTCATCCAACATGATCCAAGTCAAGAGTCACAATTCCGAGTGGCCTTCACTGGTTTTTGAGGAGAGCAGAGCAAGCTTCAACCTTTGTCTGACGGGGGACAAATATTGTGGCTACGTAGTTCATCTAAAATTACAGTAGGCTGAGTAGGGGCATTAGTTTGATGCCTTTCATGCCACTGCGAGGGTGCACTTGGATGTGCAAATAGCATGGTGCATGGTCTGCGCTGGGAAGTCCAGGCATCCGGTTACATTCACAGGGGCAATTGTGTAAGTCGAAACACCGTGCCCAAGAACAGCTGTGGCTGTTATGAGGTGGCCTTGCCCTCAATCCATGGAAAGGGAAAGGCCTGTCCATCTCCCTTGGATGTTTTGATCCTGCAGTGTCGGTTTGTGCAGAGCCTCCTGAGCGGTGGCAGGATGGTCACAATCTGGACATCCAGGCACCATGCTGACAGTCTAGGTGTCTGGTCTGGATACCACTGTCTGGATACCAATGTCCTGATGGTGTCTGGATCTGTGTTTTAAGTAGATTGCAATACAAAAAAGTTTTGGCTGAAGGTCGTTGCAAAATTCCGAACCAGGATCTTATCTAGATGACATCTGGACGAGATCTGGACATCTGGATGGCATTCAGGCCCAGGTCCAAGTCTGGTCTGAATTGTTCTGGCTTGGGTCTGCTGTAACCACGCCCACGAGGCTGACATATGCCAAACCGGCGCCTGGGGCTCCTAAGATACTGGCTGTTTAAGATCTGATCAACCGAGTAATTATGATGGTAGGCTTGGTAGCAGGATTTCAAATGTCAGAAATTGGCAATCAGCTCCCTCTACCTTTCATTTAACAGAAGTTATCTGTACTCGATGAAGTTAAATAAAGAAAGCCTCTTAAAAAAAAAAAAAAAAAAAAAAAAAAAAAACAACGCCTCTCGTTACCCTGGTTTAACAGAGGTTGTCTGTCCTCGATGAAGTAACGAAGAACACTCGAAAGCATTGGTCATCCTCCTCCTAAATTCCTAATGTCATTGGCCCTTGGGGATTCTGTCCCCTTGGTGGTGGTTGTCGTGTGTGTGCATGTCTGTGTGTGCTTGGTTGTTCGAATGTTGGTAACTTTGCATTGGAATGACCAGCTTACAGTCATCAAGAATTATTGAGGAACTACATCGATCATGTCTTCCTGGTCTACGTCTTTGGTCTCCTCCTCCTCGTTCTCTTGCTCTATTTTACGTACAGGTATGTTTGTTACTTCGGCTTTGATCCTCAGAATCCTCCGGACTCGGACCTTCTCGATGGACGCTATATGCATGCCTTCTGGAATTCCTATGTGCTAATCGTGTGAGCAAAGAAGGGGATTTATGTTGTAAGGGTCATTGGTAGTGAGATTTTGACAAAACCGAATGGCGAGCCTAGGCCAGCGATGAAATGGAGGCACAGAGGTCACTTTCTTTGTCAGGCTCGTCAACTGCCGTCCATCCAAGCAAAAAAACACACACTGCCGATGGTATCTCCCTTCTTGGCTTCCTATCTGCTATTCTCTCTGATTGGCTCAGGCCCCACTGCTGCTGTGTCTGCAGCAAGTAAAGAAGAACGTACTGCCTTCACCGAAATAGAACGCCTGGTCACTTACAGCTGTATTGGGGCCAACTGGCAGTCTAGATACGGAGATAATGACCGGGTGTTGTATTCGGGTGAAGACGGTAATCACCAAACTGGTTGAAATTACCCAACAGACGAACATAGCAGCAATCACACCTCGTGCATAATTTTGCCTAGCTCAATTCAGGGGACGGGTAGTCTTTGGCTCACCCTTCAGGAGAAATATCAGGAGGCTTGTTTCAAGAGTAAGATGGGGGAAAGGTCTTTAAGGCGATATATGGTATTGGCAGTAAGATGGGGGAAAGCTCTTCACACCTTCAAGGCCATATATGGTATGAGCAGAGGGGGTGGTTCGGAAGGATGGCCTTTTCCTCCAGCTTCCAGGATTCTAGACTCACACAATTCAAAAAATGGATACTTCAAATTACTTTCCTTCTCTTTGACCTTGAGTAAAATGTGGGGGGCAAGGGCCGAAGCGCCCGGGCGCATAAAACATTCAGAACTGCTACCTAATAGTCAGACCTGTTGGATAGGTGGAGTGAGGTGGGCAGCCTTTGAGCACTGACATCTATCTCCAGGGTTTATGTGAAGTTTCAGCCGTCCACATGTTATCAATCGAACGAGCTTCTCAATCTCTCTCCTATTTTGTCTGTCCACGCGCGCGCGAGTGCGTGAGAGAGAGAGAGAGAGAGAGAGAGAGAGAGAGAGAGAGAGAGAGAGAGAGAGAGAGAGANAGAGAGAGAGAGAGAGAGAGAGAGAGAGAGAGAGAGAGAGAGAGAGAGAGAGAGAGAGAGACATGTGTTGATGGAGGGTTGTGCGGTGTGTGTGGAGGCCCATCGGGGAACACAGACCCTTTACCGTATCCCATTGTCTGAATCATTTCCATCCCTGAAGTACAACATTGTCTGAATCATTTCCATCTCCGATGTAACCCATTGTCTGAATCATTTTCATCCCCGAAGTACGGCGCTAGTATAGGTCTGCTCTGGTTTGCATTCTTTTCTTTTTAAAGAAAATTAGGGGGAAAGAGGGGGGATGCTTTTCAGCCTGGCAACCAGGAGGCAGGAATGAGCACATCTTGCGTGTTTTTTCTACCCCTGACAGTCACTTTGCTCTTTTTTTCTTCTTTTTTTTTACTTTCCCAAAAAAATGGAACATTCCTTGGTTTACGTTTCATCCTTGTGCAAGGGCCGAACTAATTTTCTTTCTGTCATTCCAGTTGTAGTTCCTTCTCGGAGGATCTGTCACTTTGCCCTAGTCCCGGTCCCACGTCTTCCCCTCGCCCCACCACCCTCTTACTCCCTCCCTTCTCCATTTGCTGTCCTGGCAACGTACTTCGCTTCTTTACAGCTGTTCAATGCCTTTGTCCCTTCAAAAGGGTAGTCCCAGGGCCCATCTCCTGGGACCTGACCTTGGACCCGACCTGGGTCCTAACCAGGGACCTGACCTGGACCCTGACCTGGGATCTGGGACCTGGGACCTGACCTGGGATCTGGGACCTGGGACCTGACCTGGGATCTGGGACCTGTGATCTGGGACCTGGGACCTGGGACCTGGGACCTGGGACCTGACCTGGGATCTCGGACCAGGGAGCTGTGACTAGGGATCTTTGGCCTGTGACTGGACCTGGGACCCGGGACCCAGTCCCTGGGACCGAAAGCACCACCAGCCTTTTTTTGCCGAGGTCTGGATGTTGCCTGGGAAAGGTAGTAGTGGTTTCAGAACCTGCTGTCTGATTGCCAACCCACGACCCAGGTTGAACTTAGAACTCGGTCTCTTTCCTGTGTTTGGGTGGAGGGGTAAGGGCTTTCACTTTATTCCCTGTGCAATGTGCATCTTATCTTAGCATCTCTTTTCATCGGTTTTCTTACTGCAATTAAAGGCTGGTTTGCAGTGCCCAAGGGCCATTCCAAGTGCCCTTGCCTTTGTTTGTAAAAGTCAGATTTTGTTCCTGATGTTTGTGATCGTTTGATATTTGTCTTGCTGAAAAAATCTGACAAGGCCGAAATATTTCTAAGAGGTGTCCAGGCAGGGACTTATCTGCAAATCTCGCTCATAGTAAGGAGGATTTGTGTGCAATTTTCTTACTCCCGAAAGGCCTAACTCCACTCAACGCCACTCGTCCACGAGTCAAAGAATCCCCTAAAGCCACTGCTTTGCTGCACAATTCGGAACACTTGCTTTTCTTTGGCGTTTCTGTTTTGTTGCTGTTCTTTAGTTTATTTTCCCTCAGGCATGCAGGGCATACTCACGTCAGTATCCTTTTGGCACGATCTGGCTCTCATTACGGCCAGATCCGCAGAGGAAAACTTTCGTCTGGATATGTCCTTAGTCCTTCTGAAAGCGTCAAGTTCCTTGCGAGGAAGGAGGACGCATGGACTGCTGCCGTCCCCTAAATAGGTCACATTGTCATTGTAGGCTTGTAGCTGTATTTGAAGCAACTGTCATTCTAGATACAGTGATAATGACCATGCGTTATATTCAGGTGAAAACGATAGGCAGAACCCTCAAATAAATCCTGTAGGAAGAATCCAGCAGGCAATGGCTGCATGCCCAAGGCCTGCAAGCAATGCCTGCCTCTCCAAGATGCACTGTCTTTGTTGTCTGGTACCCTGGCTTATAATGCCCTGTCGATTTGGTCTATTGTCGCTTGCCTTAGCAAGTGCCCAAGGCCAAATAAAAAGCTATTATTCCTATATGCAGTTTGGAAGATTGTTGTTCTTGTTGCGTTTGTTGGGCCTGCACTCTTTTCTTTTTAACCCCTTCTATTCGGGGGGGCATCAGTCTGGTTGCTTGCCGCCGGCAAGCATGTTTTTCAAGCAACGAGGGAGAAAAGGCAAGAAAAGAGAAAGGAATAGCCATACCCTTGTGGCACGACCTGCCTAAGCAAGGGGGGTTTGCTACGGACCGCCCCAGCCCCAACCCATAGCCCCAACCCCTTGCCGGTCAATCCTCGTTTTTGTTTTTTTTTTTGTTTTTGCTTTTTTTTTAAACATTCCTTTGAATTCATTTGCACGGGTTCGGGTTTCAGTTCTTTTTTTTTTTTCGGGGGGCGGGGCGAGTGTGCTTAGTCCTTGAGACGAGCATAGGACTACTGGCAGGATCATGGGCTTGGTCTTTGAGACAAAGCATAGGACTACTGGCAGGATCAACCAGGTAACAAGTAAGTGCACCAACTAAGAATGCCCATGCACCACCACCCATAGAATTAAGAAAGAACTCAGATTATTTGTCATGTTTGTCTGGTTTCTGGTTGCTTGAGTATTTGTTGTGTGTGTGCTATCTGCTTACCTTTTTGTTTCGTCTTTGTGGCGTGTCTCTGTGCTTCTGGCACTTTTTTGATGTCTTTTCGTGTGACGTGTCCTTCCGTGTTCGTGGGCTATTGTGTTAGGAAAGGAAGACAGATGATTGCTGCGAAGGGTGATGATGGGGTTGGCATATATTGGCATATGTTGCTTCCCTTCTCCTACGCCATGGTTTCCGGGATCATAGGCACACAGAGTGTTCTTTTCGCCAAGTCTTTGTAAGATATGCCCATCTTTATCCCTCCTGTTCTGCATCATGAGCAGCCATGATGACGGTTGACTGATTGACTGATTCCCTCGGCGTTGGAGAAGTAAGCGTTAACTGAATGGTTCGTACAGTTAGATCGACTCTGATCGGTATCCTCACCTCGCTTTTCATCCTTTCTAGCATTCTGTTCTTGGTGTTCGCGGGTTTCTTTGTGGAGGGATGGTCAGCGTTGGGTGACTGACCAGGACTGAGCAGGTCATGCTGAATGATGTATGAGCTATGAGATGTTGTAATGAGGACGTCTGTTTTTTTTGTTTTTTTTTTTAAGGCTATTTTTTTAAAAGCCCAACCAATTCAATTACCTGTCAAATCTGGACAGGACGGCTGTTCAGGCCTTTTTTTTTTGTCATTATAGTATTACGGGGAACCCCGTAGCAGCCACATCCATGCTGAAGCCTCCAACGAGGGAACATGCGGGAGCTGCACCCATCAGCAGGTGCGATACCTGCTACAGCAGGTGGGCCCCAACGACGGAACATGCGGGAGCTGCACCCACCAGCAGGTGGGCGATACCTGCCAGGGGTCAGCCGGTAGCATCAGGACTTGGCTTGGTATCATATATTGCCAGGTTGGATGAAACTGTCTGTCTGTTTTTTCCGGCTGTCGGGATTGGCTTGGTATCATATATGGCCATGATCCACTGATCCAGGGATGACAGGACCCAAGCCAGCTGCTCATGACTGTGAACTGCTGGCCTACCATAGGGGAATCGAACGACTCTTGTCTTTGTCCTTCGTCACCATTAACTGTGAAGTAGCCAGAAAAAGCCAGCAGACGGCCTCTAGCCCTACTGGCGATGCTTGCTCCTGAAAACTGGTGTCGGGAATGGGGGTCGGGGTGCAGTTTCAAGGGGTTTGGAGGGTATTTGACATCTACTGTGACCTACATGCATAGTCTGTCTTATTGTAGGCCGCAGAGATTTGAAACTTGGGCTTACTGTTCTTCCCTTCCTTTTTTTCTCTCTTTTGTTTTAAACAAAAAGGCAATGGATTATATGCTGGAAACCGGGTGCAGTATCCCTTACATAGGAGTACTCACACGACGCCTCGCTCCATTATGGCCGAGGGAACCTGAGGCAACCCCCCCAAACTCCTTCCAGTCTACATTTAATGCTTTGAGCGCCCTCTGTCTGTCTGTCTGTCTGTCTGTCTGTCTGTCTGTCTGTCTGTCTGTCTGTCTGTCTGTCTGTCTCTGTCTGTCTGTCTGTCTCTGTCTGTCTCTGTCTGTCTGTCTGTCTGTCTGTCTGTCTCTGTCTGTCTGTC